AGGAAATAAATTGATGAGGCCTAACTTTTTTAATTTTTCGAGTTTTTAAGGCACTAGTGGCTCGTTTTTTTCAAAAATAGTCTGACAGGAATGGGGGTATGAGAGGAGGCGAGAGACACGCGACAAAGGACCACAGGTCGGATTCGAACCCGGTTTGGCCACGTACATGGGTCCTGCACGACCGCCTAAAATTCAAAGATTGTTTTTTTTTTTTTCCTTTTATTCTCAGGATAAGCACAAAGTTTTGAAAGAGAGCTAAATAATTATTCACTTTAAAAGCGAGGGATATGAAGCCTCCTAATTTCTACACCTTTTCATCATGAGAAGTATTTCTAAAAGTCCCTTCTTTTAGTTGGCTGAGCGGGAGTGTGCAGAAACACATTTAGGACGTGCAGTAAGGCATATGAATTAGTCTGTGTTGTACTCAATACAATTTGATAAAATGGAGGTAAGCCAAGAGTTTTTCTTACATCTCATTCATATAAATATAATCAAAAAGGCCCATTTTAAAAATGTTGTACCAGAGATTTTTAAAATGGGCCTTTTGTGTGTAGATTTATACTCACTTACACTCACTGTAGCAGAGCAGGGTACAGCGTTTGGAGTTTTTTGGAGGTTCTAAAGCATTGAAAAGCTGACCTAACATATTTTCTTGAGGTTGTATAAATCTTCATATGACCACAATAAGATAGATGCATGTGTTGAAGAGGGAATTTGGCTAAAATGATCTCATTAAAGGACTAGCAGACCCACCTGGAAAACTTTCTTTCTTCAGAATATTTCTTTTCTTTACTTATCCTCAGAACTCCATTACTTCCCTGGTCCTCCCTTCTTACTCCCCTCCTTGTCACTGATTGTTTGTTCGTGGCCTGTCATCAGTTCTGTCAGAATTACTGTCAAACGCCGAGAAGGGGTGCAGGATTAGCTATAACATGCTGTTTAAGACCACAGCACATGTAACAGCATTTCACTGCTAAATTAGTTGTGTTGTTAATGTATCCTCCACCCACATTTGTACAAACATAGACTCATGCTGTGTTCCCGCCACAGAGAGTCATATTGTTTTCAGTCAGAACTATGCATCAGGGAATATTTTTTCTCTAAATGACAGACCTGTCCTTAATGAGCAGAAAAGTGGGATTCAGAAAGGGCTTTGTTTGCATGTCTGTTGTGTATACGGTATGAGTGCATGTGTGTGGGAGACTTCTGGCTCATAGCAGCTCTTGGGAGAACAGCACTTGCCTTGAACATCAGGGGACCAGCCAGGCATGTAATGGAAACTTTGGAGATTTAGCTGCTCGCTAAAAACGACCCACCAATGTACTCCCTTATATTGCTCCCATTGTGCAGGGCATCATGATAACATTGGGATATTTTATTAGATTTCATCACATACAAACAAATCTGTTGTTTCTCCCTAAAGAGCAAAACACAGTAAGGTTTTACAGGGAAAAACGGTGCTGTAATTTAGTGACTCCCAAAGCAGGACCGCTTATTGCAGCCGGAGGTTAAACATATAAAGATCTTTTCTTTCTCATCGTTAGAACAGTTATTAAGTCTCCGCTTTGGTCAAATGAAAAGATGTTTATCATCTAACAGCAAAAGGTTGAATTCCTGACAATAGACGAGAAGCAGATGCCGAAGTTGGAGCCTCCTGAGTGCTTTAGTGGTGAATCTCAACTGCAGGTTGTTTGGAGACAGTGTGTTGTAGCAACAGAGAATGCGTTGTCACAGTTGTGTGTGTGCCAGCCACGTTTATATCCCCATAAATGCTTTTTGGATTAGTCTATTTTGCGTGTGAGTTAAAGAGAGATGACTTTGCTGGGAATTTCACTTCCTGACGTAACAACAGTGTTCTGGTTAATATCAGAGCAAGGAGCTGATTTCAAACCTGTTGCTGTACCTACTTAGTGTCTCTTTAATATTACTGCAGATTTGCATATCCAAACATATCGTTGCTTATGCATTCATACTAAAGACCTGCTTCTGAATGGAAGCGAAAAAGTCTTTTAATCTACTCTCAGTTTCATCACATTATTTTTTGGTATTTGTTAAGATGACATGTAATTGACCTTTAAATGTATTCTGAAATTTATCTCAGTGGTCTTGGCTATACATTTATATTTGCAGTAAAACAATCACAAAAAACAATGCTTTAGTAATGAAACCCCCCCTTATCAAAAAGGCAATTTTACCACAGCAGTTGCAACAAGCATTGTTGTCATTACAACAACACTGAATGTGTTTTCTAGAGTAAAAGTGACTCTCCAAATCATACATAGAGAGTTTGCTGGGTTCATAAACAGAACTGATCGGAGTTTTTTAATATAGCTTCACGGGTCAGTTATTTTTTTTTTTTAATAATAAGATATTTTTCTTCAGTAAAGATGAACAATACTATGGGCTATAAATAAATAACTATAGGAACATTTGAATTACAATCAAAACACATGCATTAGATATTGTTTGTTATTGAATATTTCATAGAATAAGCTCAAATAAAAGAAAAGTAGATTTTATAGTAGTCAATTTCTAAAAGTTAGAAATAAATGTTTGTATGTTAAATTTTATAGCTTCTGGCGTAGTGTGTTTAATGAAATCGTTAAAACTGACCCTCTGGCTTGTCACATTGATGTATTTATGTATTAATATTATTTGTTTGAATTATGATAAAAGGTTTGGAAATCCGTCTAGCTGCTGGTTTGGACACGGGGAGCTTGGCTACACAGAGGAGATTGAAATGGAGAAGGTTTTGCAGTTGTTTGAGCCTTGGGAAGCATTGCCAGCCTGCACAGGTGGCGTTTTGTCTGGATTTTGCGAAGGGAGCGAGTTTACAAAACAAGAGGGAAATGCAGAGGAGAGAAGAGTCGACGGGACTGGCAGCCCTTGGATTCATATGTACTTGTTTAAATCAGTGACTCACTGTTTGATCCCGTATAACTGGTTTGTGATTTTCTGTGAAGAGGCTGATAAAGCTTTAATTCAGTGTGCACAATTAGGCTTTGAATAAGGACTCCTACGTGGAACCACAGAATAACTTCCTGGTTTATTTAAATTTGGGTAAATTGATGCATCACGTGTGCAGCTCTGCATACATTCTAATGAATATGCTAAAGTGGGAATGGCAATCAGAGCTTAATTGTTGATGCTACAAAGGCTCTAAGTGTTGTTTTTATCCTGGAGTCTGGAAACCTTCCATTTCATTTGTACAATCAGTGCCAAATGAAGACATTTGTGCAGTGGTCTTGGTCTTCTTTGTATTCATGTCCCTCTCTGAGATCTTGGCAGCTGAACTGGGTTGTTATTAGGAGTTCTTCATCTGACTTTGTTATTACAGATCAGACCAAGCTGACAACCCAAAAACAAACAGCATGCAAAAGGTCCTCAATGTGAGCTTGCATCTGTGCTCTGATAAACATCACAAGATGAGCTACAGGCACCATATGAAGCACTTGCTGCATGCATGTGCTAGGCTTCCCCACAAATAACCCTCCACTGCCTCGACTCTGTTTGTCACATAGTAATGTGGCAATATGTGATTATAACAGCTAAAACTTGACACACCCTGAAACACCCCTGCACAGAAGCCCTGAGACCTCACAGATGAAAAAAACACTTCCTTCTTTCCTGTGTCGGGTTTGTCGGTGAAAAACGAGAACCCTGCAGGGAGGAAAGTGGGAAAGCGGAGGGGGGAGGGGGGGAAGGGTGGAGCATCTGGAATAACATTCACTCGTCTCTCATATCATTGCTGTCTCTCTGATCCCTGTCTCACAGACACACTCACAATTTGCTTTGACATATCAGCTATCACCTCCTCTGCAGCCTCTGCTTCTGCCCCGCTGCTCTTTCAGATGACATCAGTGCAGGTGTTGGTCTTGAAGTAGACCCCATTTGGTGTTTTTGTATCTGTGTGTGTGTCACTTCTGGTGCCATGCTGGCTGGGACGCTTGACATTTGGAGAAGAGGAATCGCTGGTTGTTGATTACCACTGTTGTATAATACATCAGTGGGGTAATCTCTAAATATGGAGATTTTGGAAGAGATGCAAGAACAAAGTCGCTCGTGAAAGAAAACAAAGGTGGCGAAAGTAAAACTTTTAGTGGCATTCATGTATTTATCCCTCTTTGATGGCACACAAGTAAAAAAAATTACACAGGTCTGCAGTGTTTCCACCCAAATTTGGTCTAATTCACTCTAAACCCACTATTCTATCTGTAAAATATGTCACACATGGTGGTGGCTGCATAATACTGTGGGGATCCTTTATTAATGTTGATACAGGGAAGCTTGTTTGCGTTAATGTTAAGATTGATGGAGCCAAACAAAAAATAGTTAAAAAAGACCTGTTAGCAGTTGAACTAATAATAATGCTTAATTGGAGAATGGAAATAAATAGAATGAAGCATAGGGATGAAAAGTGGTCCCTATGTCCTCCAGCAGCTTATAGCAACAATAGCTATATTGATGATATAAGCTGAATCACTCTAAGTTTTATAAAAAAAAGCGTTTTTTGGCCTATATTCATGGCTGCGTGTCAAAGTGGGGGGAATCACCTCTTATCTGATGCATTACAAACATAAAAGCTACCAATTTTAAAGAACAAATACCTAACAAGGATTCTGAGACACAGCTCCATTTGGTCACACAGATGGTTGCTGCCTCTTGTTAGATGTAGCCTTAAGTCTGTTGTTTGTTTAGAAAATCCAGAAACTGGTTTGAATTACAGTCTGTCAATCAAAATAAAGCTGCCTTCGTGTGCATGTCTATAGCAGGTACTTAAAGTCTCTGCAGGCTTCCTTTAGTTTGTGTCAATATGATTGACAGTGTTAATGGTGTAATAATTCCTCACATCAGGCAGTTAAAAAGCTTCATTTCACAGTGTTTTGGATAATCAGTCTTGTTTGTTTTTTCTTTTTTTTTTTTTGGCCCTTTTCACTTGCCTTTCTTTACTCCTGCTGCACATTAATCTTTCCCTCTCTTTGTCTTTTTCATTCCTGCAGGATGAATGCCGCAACTTTATCAAGGTGCTGCTCAGCAGACAGGGGGGCCTGTTTTTGTGTGGCACCAACGCTTTTAACCCGCTCTGTGCCAACTACACAGTAAGCAACAACATCTCATCTGCCAGTTCTTCAGTTACCTTTGCAGACCTTTTTGTGGTTCAGCCAACAGCACATTCATCCATACAAACGCTTTAACATAGTTTATAAATGGCTGATCATTTGTTTTCCCAATCAGAGATCTTTATTTAGCCTTGCAATTAGTATATCTACTTGGGTGAAGACTTACTGATTGATTTGGGTTGTTTGTTTGGCTCTCAAAGCAATGCTGACTTCCTCCTCAGTATCCTCCTAGGTTATTTATCCTTTCAGTCTGGCAGTTTTAGTTCCTTGCCCCTCAGTGAAACAAATCTTGTTTTTCTCAGTGGTTAAACCTTCTGGTCTGCTGAGCTAAAGAGTCAAAGACAGAAAATCAAGAAGGACAAAAAGAGGGGTGAACGGTCAAGGAGGGTAGAATGAGAGAAAAAGGCTGGAGACATGACTTGTTTACCTAGTTTGATATTAAGTTATTGTTCGGCTTGCGTTAAAGAAATTTCACCAGTTCCAGATCAAGGGCCTTGTTAAAGTATTCAGACCCTATGAACCTGTTTATATTTCGTCAACTTAGAACTACAAACCTCATTGATCTGATAAAACAACTTTTGCCATTACCTCTTCAGGTCTTCCATAGCATATTTTGACTAACTTTGAATATCTAAAGAATGACATTGTTGTACATTCTTCTTAGCAGAATACCTTAAGATGAGTCAGAGCCAAAGCAGAGTGTCTCTGAACGTGATATTTCCATGTTTTGCCTTGCAGAGGCTTAGAGGCTTTCTTGCAGGTTTTTCTTGTTACCCCCACCCTATTTACTATTAAACAGCTTTTCTGAAACTGCTTAATAGCTTAATTGTAACATGTTCTCCCACCTGAAGCGTGAATCTTTGCTCAGTTATATTTGAACTATTTGCTGCCTCTCGGATTAATACTCCACTTGCTTGTCTGGTTTTGGTTGACTTCCATGTTCTGTTAGGTTTGTAGGACTTGAGTACTTTCATTTGATGGACTGAGCAGTGCTTTGTGAGCTTGCTATATTGCATTATGAACCAGCACTGCTTGAACTGTTCTAAAACTTTATTGCTGACCTACCTGCTGGGGTCTTTAAGGAGATTTTTATTGGCCACTATTCTTGAGAAATCATCTGAGACCAAAGATAAGAACAGCGTTTAGAATTAGATCAAAATGCAGCCAAAGTAGTCTATTTTTTTGCTGTTTAGATCCTTCTAAAGGCACGTGGTTAAACACGATGTTCTTACATTTCTAAGAGTAAAGTAAAAACAAATTTTTAAACACTTTTTAGATTTTGGCTTGATACATTTTTTTTTCTACTTGAAAGTTATGTACTGTTTTTTTTTACCAAATCAGTTTAGAATACTAACAAAGACACGAAGGTTTGTGATTATATTGAAAACAATCTGCTGCCTGCAGTTACAGTAAGTCCCACCAACTCCGTTGCACATTTACCAATTTGAGCACACAGTAAGACAGGCTTGCAATGTTCCCAAACATTTGCCCAATACAAGGCTAATGCACACTTAACTCTGACAAACTGTGCATCCATGTCTGCGTTTGTGTCTGGATGGCGTGCAAAACCTGCTCTTTGCTCATCTCATCCTGTCTGCTAAGTTAAAACATTTTTTGTCTTACTTTTAGGACTTTATTTCTTCCAGCTCGCATGAGGTGATGCAAAACCCTTCTTTTTAAACCAAATGAAACCCTTTAATTATTCTCAGAATACTATTGCATATTGTTTATTTTTTGATAAAGACCTGGATGAAAAGGCACACAAAACCATAAATATTTCTCTTTTATATTTCCTCCATTTGTATCTGTTCAAATAAAATGTACACTTTTCCTGTTTTCTTTATTTCCATTGAATATTTAAACATTTATGATTATATATTTTTTAAAGTACGTTCTGGATTGTCATGCCATGTATGAGGCAGTCTGGAAGGTTTGTTCTGTAATTTTTATATCAAGGCCCTACAAGATAATTAAAGGAAATAAGTTGATGTCATGATTGTTAATTAAGAGTTAAAATAACTGTTACTGTAATCTCTTCCATGTCTTTCTTCAACAAAGAGTTGTTAAATAGAACAATCATAATATATCAGGTGTGAAAACATTCTAGGGGTTTGAACAGATTTGCAAGGTACTATAAAGAAGAAGATAAGACCCAAGGTGTAAAGCAACAAGTCAAAATGTCAACCCACCACGATTCAGTCAATTATCAACACTTTTTTCAGAGAATGACCCCACAGATTGTCCCTCAAAAAAATCTAAGAATCTTAAGGTTTGTTCCCATCAAGTTGCCTCACCTGAATCCTCCTCCACACAGCCTGCTCCAGCTTCCCAGGCGATCTCTGTCTCACTCAATTACAGTAACAATCCAAGATTTGCTGAAGGGAGGCAAAACAATACCCATAAATATTAATATTTGGTTTCAGCTGATTTCACATCATTCTGCAGAGATTTTAAAGGAATGCAGGCAGTCAAGTAAGAGCGAGAAAAACAGAACGAGAAATGGAAAAAACATTCCACCATCAAAGGCTTTTTTTTTTTTTAGATGAGTGTTATTTCCACTCTCTCACATTTCAGACTTAGTGCAACAGTGGAACTTAGAAACAAACCTGGCCCATTATCTGTCAGGCACTAACGATGCCATACAACACCTGTCTCTGCCTGATAGGCTGTCTGTTTCTCAGGGGACTAGTTAGAAATGCAAGCTGCTCTTTTATTTATAGCTCAGTTTTAATGAAATGACATTTATAAATGATTTTTGCTCTTGACTGTGGATTGGAGGTACTGAAAGTTATGTTTTCTGCAGAATCAGTTTAAATTGTGTTTTGAAGCTACCTGATAAATATACATCTGCTGTAACCCAAGCAGGAATTTCAGTGTATAGATGCAGGATGGTGTAAATATGGCCTAAAATGTGTTTGAATTATTAACAAGACTCCATGTGGGTGTTTGAATGTGGGGGTTGGTCTCTTAGTTATGTATGAGAATGCGACTCTCTTATTGCCTAATTGCCACCACTGAATCATTAGTTAGCTCTCTCAGTAACAGTCTAATTGCCATTCTCTGGTGGCTTTTTTTTCCACTATGCTGCTATAGATGCATTTCTATTGTTTAGAGCGTGTTGATTGAAGCCTGTGTTTATCTGTCAATGTTTGTTTACAGGGTGATACTCTGGAGATGATAGGAGACCCGGTCAATGGAATGGCGAGGTGCCCTTATGACCCTAAACACGCCAATGTTGCTCTGTTTGCTGGTAAGACACTCCTTCCAGGCTCTACACTTCTCTTTTGAGTCTGGATCCCACAGAGCTGTCACAAAGATGGAAAAACCGAAGAATAACACAGGTCCTCTATAAAACCTGAAATTTGTCACTATAATATGCCACATTAGTTCAACTTCAATTAGTTTTCTGCAGTTTGCTTGTTTATTTCACTTCACTGATAATGTAATCAACAGCTCTGTGCAGATGAACTGCAGAGAGCCATTATGGAACAGCCATCATTTTTTTTTTATTGCAGTAATATTTCAGTCTCGTCAGCTGCCATGTTTATGATGACAAACATTTTGCTTTATTGTTTGTCATTATAATGGTATAAATTAGTTGAGACAGCCATTGTTTGTCTCTGCAGATGGTTGAGTAGATGATGCTCTGATATTCAAACTGTTTAAATGTAAAAATTAATCTGTCAGCATTTTCATCTTAATTACAGATATTTACTTTTCGTGTTGTACATTTTTTTAGCTTAAGTTTGTGGAGCCCAAAACAGGTATAGGGTCAGCAAACGTGTCAGCAAAATGTACGTTGAAAGTCATCCTAATTCATTGCATGCTAAAATATCCTTTATTCTGCAGGCTTTTGCAGAAGTTCTTTAAATAGTGGAGAAGCTAGAAAATCGGCTCAGTAAACACCTGCCAAAATTACGGTAGATGCAAAAAAATCAACAAATTTTCACTGGTTCAGTGTGAAAACTATTATTTATTAGGCTTCCATAGAACATTATTCCAGAACTCCTTGTTGTTCTCTTTGCAACTTTCATTCTGATGTTTACTTTTGGAAAACAGCAGTTTCCTCTTTCTGAACTCTTTCGGAAAGTTAAATCTGTCAAGTCATATTCTTTACACTTTTTAATCAGCAGTAAAAGGAGCCTGCTATGTGTTCTATGTTAACACTCTTGAAGAGTTTTTCTTTAGCATCTTGCCATCTGCTTTTGTTGCAAGCTTGTTAGGAAGAAAGCATGTCGGAGCTTTGGAAGATGTTCTAAATGTCTGCAACTTGAAAACGTCTTTCTATAGAGTTGCTGGTCTGATTTCCATTTTTTGTACGACCGCTGTAAATGACAAATTAGACTCATAAGCTGTCACAGTCTTTGACTCGACATGTCTTACCTCATTAGTGAGGACCAGACCAAACTATGACATACAGTTGTCTGAGGGGCAGAATCTAGATTCTAATGATATTTTTATCACATGCACCTATAATCATATGATTACAGATCTCTTCCTCAGTCATAACTGTTTGGTTATATCATTTTATGGTATGGTTAAAAATGGAATGAAATAGTCATACATTCAAATAGGTTATAAAAACTTACTGGAAAAACTTGCAAAAATCCACACAGTCTCTAAAATTTTTTGTTAAAAAAAAAACTTTTACCTGCAAGGTCGAATTTTAGAAAAAAAATTTCAATCATTTTTTCTGAATACACACTCTGTCCTAAATCTGAAACCTGGTTGAATTCTTAATTCAATGGCTAATAAGGCCTTTCAAAATCAGGTTTTATTTTTTTTGTTTTGGGCTCGTTCATGCATGGTTGTTGGGCTTCTTAGAAATTCGTAAAATTAGTGTCAGAACAGATGGAAAAAAAACATGTACGTACTTAAGTTTGACTTAAACATCTGAATTCTTCCCATTGTGCAGCTTCCCTGTTTTGTACATTTGCAGTCCATTTAATTTTTTTTTTTCATAACTTGACCTTTTCACTGACTAAAAAGAGCAGTCTGCCATGGACAGTTTCCTGCAGAAAATGCATTGGTTTCTGCATACCTTTAGAAAATGTCATTTCTAACTCGAACCTAGTTGATTTAAAGTAATAACTTAGTCATCTTTAAGGAAATATGGTTATGTGACTGAAAGATAACTGATAGGCAGAGGTCACTCTGAGCTATTTTGACATGCTTATTTCGTCATTATTTCAATAGTATCACGTGATCAAAACAAACTGATATTGTATTACATGTACACTTGTATAAACTGTGCCAAATAAGGGTTGAAGTTGACCAAAATAGGGTTTTAACCTAAGCAACAACATTTATACAAAGCAGCCCCAAATAATTCCTGTATGAAAATGTAGGTAAAGCTGAATTTTGTAATGAAGTTTGTATTTTGGAACTTGAAAAGTTGAATAGCCTCATACTGTAACAATCATACCTCTCCAACTCTCCTGGAAAACATGGGTTGGAGAGGTATAATGCTGTCCTGTTAATTTTGCAGGAAGTGACAAAGATTATATCTGACAATTTGAAGCAAAGAGAGAAATGTCTTTAATGAAATTTAACACATAATAAAGTGCTATAAAGACTGTCTCAAGCTGTTCATGTCAGTGGTTTTACTACAGGCTTGATTGTCCTCAGACAATATTTGACTAAAATGAAAATGAAACACCCAAATATGTCAGATTTCCAATAAACTAAAAAATAAAATAAAAATCAAAGCCAAGAGAAATATTTTCAGCCTGACCAGAGGTTCTCTCAATTCCTGCATCTTTTTTTGTCTATTGTTTCTTTTCTAGGTTGTGTAGCTCACCACTATATGTTTATGTTTATGTGTTTCAGAGGGGAATCTGTTTACAGCTACGGTGACAGACTTCCTGGCCATTGATGCGGTGATTTATCGTAGCCTTGGGGACATCCCCGCTCTACGCACTGTCAAGCACGACTCCAAGTGGTTCAGAGGTACCAGCAGACACCTTGTGTGTATGTGCGTGCTTGTCAAGATCTGCTTGTATGTTTGAGCTTCTAAGCGTATCCCTCCCCTGCTGCAGTGTGCCCTATGTTCAGAATCACGCCCTCCTTCCCTGGCACAGTCACAGTTGAACTGGCTTAAATGCACACCCATGTTACTCAGCAGACTGATGGATGCGTCAGCAGCTAAGCTTTAACTCAGCTGGCTAAATGCTTGATACAAAAACCATCCGCAACTTTTGAAATATTACCTTTGATAAATGTTTTAGAATGTCCAGAGTGAATTATTACCGAAAATCAGCATGAAAGTCTTTTCTCAGAAATGCCAGTGAGACATAATTCTCTTTAGTATTTGCTGTTAAATCTCCCTTTCAGCATGTAATGAAATTAGGCCTACTGTATGCCACTGCCCTCGTGCTTCTCTACTGTTGTGGGAATTGATGTTGCAAATGGACATGTTTTGGATGCATACTTTCTTATGAAAATTCTCTCCCTCCACCGAGACAGAGCCCTATTTTGTGAGTGCTGTGGAGTGGGGACCTCACATCTACTTCTTCTTCAGAGAGATAGCCATGGAGTTCAACTACTTGGAAAAGGTACAAAGAGAAATCAGATGGAAATATATGTCCTAATATATTTCATCCAGATGTATATTTCATGCAGAGAACCAAATGTCCTTTCAGCGCACCCTTTAAAAGGACCTCTGGGGAATATATGAATTTTTTTTTTTTTAAACAAGCATGAAAGGAAATGCTAAACCAGCACTATTATTTGAATGTGAATATCACCTGTTTTACTTACAGCCACAATGACATTTCATGGTTTTGCTTGTTTTTAGGCAAATCTAAGCTAACAATACAAAACCTGCACCTGTGTAAACCTGAGAAAAGCTTAATTATAAAAGCTTAAATTAGTCTTCTCCTTGCTGAGCAGATAAAACATCTTCATTGGAGGAGATTTTATTTTTTTTATTTTAAAGAATACTTTTAAAAAGCTTGTGAGGTGCCAAATCTAATAAATTAGCAAGGAGAAGGGTATGCAAAAGTTTTTTTTTTTTTGACATGTTTGCAGAAAGCACAATAAATGTATGCTGAAACAGCATTGCTATTGTGTGTTCAAAAAGCAGTTTTGAGATTCACTGACATTTTCATGAATAAGTGATGCTGATTTTAGCATTATAAAACAATAATCTGTCAAAACAGGGTTTCAGATCGCAAATAACATGCAAATGACTCTTCACAGTGGAGCTGAAGGGAGCTTTTGAATGTCTCCTTATGAGATAAAGCTCAAACTTTCTTCTCTTATCATTAGTGTTGAGGGTCTTATCTGTATTATAAAGACCTGTCATGAAGCTAGCTGTGGCCTGCCTTTCACAGGTGGTTGTGTCGCGCGTTGCCAGAGTGTGCAAACGCGATCAAGGTGGCTCGCAGCGCGTACTGGAGAAGCAATGGACGTCTTTCCTTAAAGCCCGGCTCAACTGCTCCATACCTGGAGATTCTCACTTCTATTTTAACCTGCTGCACTCCACCAGCCCGATCATCAGGATGCACGGCAGGGACATCATCCTCGGCGTGTTCTCCACACCAGCAAACAGGTACATCACAACTACGTGCATGTGCGTGTTCTCTTTCAGACATGTACTCAAATTTCACTATTATTTAAAAACCTCTATTAATAATGAAAAGAATAATGTCCAGTATTTGTATCACTCTCCACCGTCTTCACTAAAGACAGAAGAAATTATGGGAATGAGTCCTCAGCTATATCAGTTTAAACTTCCAGCTCTGAGAGTTTGTCTGGCTGCCCCATCTTCCCAAATATCGTCGCTGTCGGGAAAAAACCTTGTAACTCCCATTTTGGACTTTTTTTTTTTTTTCATAAATTGATACAATTGGTCAGTCCCCATGTGTAAACGTATGTTTTGGAAAATAAAAAAGAAAAAAGTTAAAGTTATCAACCTTGCCGGCGGCGGCATTGGTACTGATGGAACTCGCATCTCCACAAGTCACTAGTCAAAAACCTCATAAATCCATTTTGGACATACGAGGTTTCCGTCCGACAGCGACGATATGCTCTCATTGGGACCATTAATAAATGTACTACTAACCAAAAAAATTTAAAACAAAATTAATAACATTCATCCCACAATTTATGTTAAATCGTTTGTTTATACTAGACAGAGGAGTCCAATTTTGTGTTTTATTGCAACATTTCTCTTCAAATTGTAGGTTTTTCCTGAGAGTTTTAGGTCATGTGAGTGACTGACACACAACTATGTCAAATCATTACACTAGCCTGGACAGACAGGCAATTTTAATCAAATTTTAGTGCATATATTTTTTTATTGATTAACTTAAATAGAAAAAAAATATGACTTATTTTCATTTCCCATTATAACAATATAATTTATTTAATTGTCAGTCCCTAGGCGAACCAAAACCCAGTGAGAACGTGCCTCACATAACCTAAATATCAGCTTTCTTTGAATGAAAATGGACATTTATGCAGGAAATCCCGGAAAATTCTCTTTGAGATTCAAGAACAGCTGTATCCACATGAATAAAGAAAGAAAACTTCCTTCAGAGACTAAGGTAGACCCCCCCTGTATGTACATGTTGCCACATTCACATTTTAGTGAACTACTGCTGTTTGTTCCTTCTTCTACGAAGTCGAAAACAGCATGGCTTCCTACACACCAAGACGGGCTTGAGAAAAATCCAAGTGGCTGTTTGAGGGTGCGGAGGGGGTGTGGGTCGAGTACAAGTAATGTAAGTCCCACATAGTATGACATGTAGACTGTGGGAGATTTAGAGGCTCTAACACTACAAGCAGTAAACCAGAATAAAGCAGAGTAAGAAATAGGATGTGACAAGATGACATTAAAAGCATTATGATCTAAACACAGAGCTGTGCTTTAATTACAATAGTACTAATGCACACCAATATATTTATGTAGCCACATAGAGTCAATGCTTTGTTTTTATATTAATTTTTACTTACCCCCCTGACTCCTTCTCCACATTGTAAAATCCTTGTCATGCATTTTTAAGGATGCTACTCAAGGAACTTTATATGCTCGCTTGCTAAACCCAGTATGGCGTCTCAGATCCTTGCCTAGGATTTTTGTAAGGTCTCTTTCAGGAAAAAAAAAAAAATGTAATGCTTTGTTTCCTTGGAAGGATATAATTATTTTGGTTACAGGCCACTAAACTGAACAAGGCCTAATAATTACGTAGTTATGACACATAGTCAGGTAAATGGTAAAGAAAACAAAAATAAATAAATAAATAAATAAATACTCAAATAGCTCCGGAAGCCATGGTTACGAAAAAAAAACAGCAAAGAGTTATGTATGTATGTTTGGAGTTATCATAAAAATTTGTAAAATCTAACCTTCCAGCCAGTGTTGAGTTATATTTGGTTTATTTAAACAGTTCAAATTTACAACACAAGCCAGCTCAGGCAGTTTACAGAGTCAGTGCAATTATATCATGCAAATAGATAGCTAAAAAGCGTCCTATAAAGAAACTCAACAGATGGCATCAAGTCATTGAATTCATCCCCTAATGTGCATGCAGTGGCAATGGACAACCACTTGCATTATGTATCGTTGACTATGCAACTATCCCTCATACCAAGAATGCATGTAGTGACATTTGGAAGGAACAGTTGCCTTTAGCAGGAAGAAACCTCCAACAGAACAAGTTCTTTTGGTTAGATGGGTTAGATGGGACCAGGGTTTCGCTGTGTACTCTGTATTTTTTAACGAAACAAAACTTCTGGTAGACATTAAAAACAAGAAGACTTTTAGTATTTTTTTAAAAGCACAAGGTCCACAAGATGTGTGCAACCTTGTTGTTCAAAAAGAACACCACTGGCTTCAGCAGATTGGGAGAAAATGTGCAGAATCTGACTGCAAACATTAAAATATTAATAATTTCTCAAGAAAGAGAGCCTCGTTTGTATGCAAACACCAGTCCAAATTACTGTTGATATGTAAAACCACATATTTGTGGGATTTAATCACTTTTATGTTCTCAACCTCGATTTTAACAAGCTGGTGTTGTTATTTCTTCTTTCTGCCAATATTTGTGTCCTTAGTCGGAGTAGGGGGGATGAATTTTGAATTACTTGATTCATAATAAAGAATTAAAAATGTATTTAAGGTAAATGTAGCGAAGATATTAATGGGTTAAAGTGAGACATTGTGATCAAAAGGAAGATCAGGATGGGAATCCAAGGGCAAGGAAGTCAGTAATGGACAACACGTGTGCCTCCCGCTCCCTGAGACCTTAAGCTGTTTCATCAGCTGCATCTTATCTCCCTGTTTAGAAGAATACATAGTGAGAGGGTGGGCTGCTACCTGCAGAGTCTGAAGGATGCCTCACATATGTAGACTCATACACAAATAAGCACATTTTCCAAAACAATTACAATGGTTCCCAGATAAAAGCTTTTACATCTCTGCACCGAGGACCAGCTAAACAAACAAAGAGGCCGCCCTTGCCTGGGTAACCTGCCCCTGGGTCCTGCTTTAAATGAGTGCCAGCCAAGGTTGGGAAATGGAGGTTCTTAAAGAAAAGATATACATATGTATGGTGGAGGAAAATGAGCAGAAATCTTTAGAGAAAACATGTGATAATCTAAAAAACTCCCTTAGGTCCAGTGTGGCCTGCTGTGGCACACCGGCAAAGTGCTTGCCAGACAAATTGCCTTGGCTGGCAGAGTGTAGTGGAAACAGCATGAAGCAGGACCATGGAGGAAGGTAATAGCTGTTCACTCCTTTCACTTGGCCCACTACAACATACTGTACACCAAGCTGAACTAAGGAAGAGTAAAAATGATTCATTGTTTTCCCTGTACAGTACATTCTAGAGGAACTCATCTCCCCCTGTGTCCTCTCTCCCCATTACCACCACAAACAACCTGCATTTAAAAAGATATTCTTTAACTTGTCTTTTTTTTAAAGTATACCATTGAGATTATGAGCATTAGAGCAGCAGAGCAAAGACGTTTCCTCCTGCATATTTGCTGTTTTTTGTTCCTCCAGTAGGAAATATCACTTGTGTCAACTGTCGCTCGCTCTTCAGGTTTAAATGGAGCTGTATAATTGTAATTGAAATCTTGTGTATCCTGAAAGCAGGATGGCGTCTCTGGCTTTGCATGTGGAGAATTCTGTGTGACAGCAGGATGTCCCTTTGGGAAAAAGACACGGCAGTGAGGAGGAGCAGGAGGAGAACAGGTTTATGATGCCATGAAGAACGTGATGCTGGGGAAGGTTGCACAGATGTGCAGAGTAGACCCCCTAAGGGCCCACGAGCAGACTTGGCAAAGGAATACATAACAAGGTCATAAGATATTTACAGAGAAATGGATACAGGAGAATAACCCATGTCACTAGAAAAATAAGATTTTTACAGAAACATTTTTTATTAAAATTGACCTCCATTGGGCCACGTTGACCATCGTTGGGCCCTCACTGTCATAAAAGCAGTCATGTTTCCATTGGACAGTTTTACAAATGTCATAATTTATTTTACAAATATATGCTGAATCATATTGTTAAGCTAATTAAATGGTGTAAACTGTGTCTGGATGTTGCATCATGTTTTTGTACTCCTAATCTGTTTTAATTAAATTCCCGAGCGATGGCCTTTTTGAATAATGTTGGCATGGAACTTGGCTTATCCACACTGATGCTTTTCTGTCTGTAATGATTGTCATGGTCTTTGCTGCAAGATTGACGCTGATATAAATACTGAATAATGACTGCCCCTTCATCTAGGTTTGTTTATATAAAAGAATGGAGTTAGAACATACAAAAGTTATGATGTCAGTGGCGGCCAGTTTGTCCTTTTTAATGACTGTTATTTGTTAAAGAATATAGTATTATCAACTGTGGTAGTCTCCTATGAGCTGTTTTAGAAATGTTTCTGTATAGATTAAGTACCCTTTTTTGAGATAATTGATTTAGCAGATCTTCATTTTAATTTCGTTAAGTAATGTGGAACATTTCTAGTTGCACTTTGCTTTTAATGGATTAGATTTAATTCCTCCTGCTGTTTTTTTCCTTAACTCCACAGCCTATCACATGGCTGATAACACAAATAATTTCATGCATGGTGTCTGGAAGTTCTTTTAACAATAGGTCTGCTCAGTCGACATCTGCATTCAGCCAGTAAAATGTATTTCAACGCAGAACAGATAAATATGAAGAACCAAAGGAAAGAAAAATAAACAAAAAACTGACTGAAGGGAATTATGGGGGGAATCTAAAACATGAATGAGGCAAACAAGTGAGAGAAACGACTGGTGGCAATGAGAATAATAAAAGAGAGTTCAGAGAGGAAAACAGCTGGAGGCCTTTTTGCTTTCTTTCGTTAGATTCTGAGTCATACATAGGGCAAACCCAGTGACCTGCAAGTGATACCAGGCTGGAGAGGTAGAGAAACCTGGCAGGGCTGGCAAACTTCACTCATATAACATCTGGTGCCTTCAGTCCTTTATAAAAGTCTGTTTTATCCACATATAAAGGGCTATGAAAAAAGCATATGACCTTAGAGACTTTGTTTATTTTGCTTTTTGTCAAACTTAAATGTTCCAGATCGCCAACTAAATTATTAATACCTGACAAGGATAACTTGAATAAATACAACAAAGGAAGTTTTGAATGATTATTTCATTTATTACAGGACAAAGCCTGACAAAGGATAAAACATAATTTAATCCTAAACCTAATAACTAATAGGTGACAACTTCTGCAATAACTGGCAATATATGTTTTTATATTTCTCTTTTTTCATGACTTGTTTTAAAGTATTTCACTCATATTGGAGAATCTTTTAGACTCACCAGCCTGTTATCAGGTCCAGCCACAGCATCTCAGTGAGATTTATGTGCAAAATGTGAGTGGATGTATTTCTCTCTGGAATAAGACCTCTTACAGTGGCTGCATCCTGGAGCAGCTGTGTATTGTGGGATTAATAAACTATTTTTAAATAAAAAATAAACTCATTTCTCGGTTTGCTTTGAATCATTGTCCTGCTATAGACTGTAAGCCATTAGGAAAGGAAGCCCTGTTCCTCCAGATCGCCTCCACCATTATTGATTTTCTCTTTGAGGAATTTTTGCTTCTTTTTAAATTCTATTAGAATTTGATTAGATGATCTGAAACTTAAGAAGGTGACAAACAAGGAAATCTATAAAGGGGTCAGATAGTTTTTCCACAGCTCTGTATGACTACCTCTCTGCTGCCCTGACCAGGCCTGAGTTTGACTGTAAATGTGTGTAAATGATAAGCACAGAGGGCCGACAGCCTGACCCAATCAAATTGCACATCAGGGGAGCACGGCTCCCAGCTGCAACCAGGAAATCCAGCCCTCAAGCAATGCTTTTCAACACACTTCTGAAACTGACTTTGAGCTCAGAACATATTCCAGAAAGGACTCAAATCAACAGCTGGACATTTATTATAAAAAGAAAATCAGAAAAGGAAATAAACAGCTTGAACTCATGTAGCAGGCGATAACAAGTGGTTCCTTCTCTGTGTATATTTCTAAAGTAGTTTGAAGCTTTTCCTCCATGTACGTACAGTAGTTAGTTACTCATTGATGATGACAGTGTAGGAACAGAGTGGAGCAGTAAACATGCTGTTTTCTTTGTTTCTGTAAACTCAGCTCTTATCTCATCCTGACAGTGCTCTCCTCTTTTCTTCTCTCAGCCTAAAATACAGAAACGTAGCATCAGGCTCAGCAGAAACAGCCCGACCATTTTGGATGCCTCTGAATTTGTCATGTCTCATTGTCTTCATTTACGCGGGGGTGCGCCAAACTCTTCTCTGAGCACATGCACGGCTCCAAGTGACCGGGTTCATGAGTAGTTAAACAGCCTCTGAGCTGCACCGGTCTTTTTACTGGAATACTTTCATGGGTTCATTTCCTTTACTGGAATCTACTCTCCTCCTCCTTTTTGTGGGGGACTGAATTTTGAGTGACTCATTTCCTAATGTTGCTTTATATTCCAGGAATTTCTTGAGCCTATTATAGTTTTTTTTCTGCTGCACATCTATAAACTATAGACCAGAGCTGATAGTGTCTCTTTTGTTTATCCTCGGTCTCTATCAGTCACAATTTCCTTTGTGCTTCCCATTAGCTCCTGAAAAGTAAAAGAAAATAATAAAAAGTAATTGGTCATCTGAGCTGGGCTCCAATTCTTTAAAAGGTTTTACATCTGAATTTAGTTTTACTGCAAGGATTTTGTAGGATGGATATATAACCCATTATCTTTCCCTTTTCTGTCACTTTTTCTCTCTGCAACCTCGCATGGGAGCAGAGCCTGCTTGCCATGGGGCTGACAGTCATTTTGTGTCAGCTCAAAGTGTTTTATCTGCCTCTCTCTCTCACCATCCTGTCTCCTTCTCTCCAGCATACCAGGTTCGGCTGTGTGCGCCTTTGACATGGAGCAGCTGGCTTCCGTGTTTGATGGAAGGTTTAAGGAGCAGAAATCTCCAGAGTCTATTTGGACGCCTGTTCCAGATGAACTCATCCCAAAGCCAAGGTAAAGCCAGATGGCAATGCTCAATACATGCACCTGCGTTATCAGATTGATATCGGCAAGCTTAGGGGAGGGCGATAGCTGTGTTCTGAAACATGACGCTGCTTCAGAAAGAAGCAATTTTTTTGGAAAAAAGTTTGCAATAAGGGATGTATCTAGCAAACTCATTCATATTTTATCACTTATTACAGCAATGATATTTATATTATTGGGATTTTTTGTAATAAACCAACACAAAGAACTGAATCACTGTGAACATAAAGGGAAATGGTACAATGGCACAGTTAAAGCTCCAGATATTTTCATGTTAACAAGTATTGAACCAGTTTAATCAGACTGTCCATTGTTTACGCTGTGGGAAAGCATCCAAGATTTGCTTGAGAACATTAATGAGATTCTACACAAGGCCAGAGAAGCAAAGGGCAGGTTAGGGGGAAAGATATGGAGAAGTTAAAAGCAAGGTTTGATTAGAAAACAATATTCCGGGCTTACAGAGCCCCTTTCAATCTATCTTCTAAAAATAAAGATTATAGCACAACCACACCATAAATTCGCTATAAATATGTAATTAAACAAATGTGGAAGAGTTTAAGGGCGTGAATACTTTTGCAGGTCACTGTGTGATGTTTTCATCTCATGACTGAATTTTCCCCAGATTTTTTGCTTAGGTTTTTAGCTTCGAGTTAAAGAAAAGGGAAAAGCGACTTTGTATAAACAATGTTGGAGAGTTTTGAAGATAACACTTTTTTGAGTGTTGCCGAATGCTGTATGAATATGAGTCACTCACAGTCTAGACTGTCCTTTTAATAATATATTATTACAGAGGAATGAATGACAGGATTTTGTCAGATAATTTCGCTCCACTCTTTCTGATGTCCTCCGTCTTGCTGTCTCCAGACCGGGTGGCTGTGCTGTTCAAGGATCAAAGTTTAATTCTTCCAACTCGTTTCCCGATGAGATGCTGAACTTTGTCAAGACACATCCTCTGATGGATGAAGCTGTTCCATCACTCGGACAAAGACCTTGGATTGTGAGAACCATGGTCAGGTAAGAACTCTGTGGATCGGCTGTTATGCATACTGATTCATCAGGTAGTTAAAAATAATTTCTGAAAGAAATGTTTCTATTGTAATTTCATTGTTATTTTTAGGAAATTAAATATACAATAATATAAGGTATTATTATATGTTATGAATAAAATCAGACTAACCAGAACAAGTTACTTAAAAGTAACGGATTTATTTTCTGCTTTATAATGCTTTCAGACATTTATATTTATTTAATATGATTATTCTGCCCTTAAAGTGGAAATGAAAAGGTTAAAAGAAATAGCTAATTCACAATACTGTATCTTACTATTATTAATAATTATATTAGAAATGTGGAAAACAAAAACTAAAAAAAAAATAAAGTTTAGCATTTTTTATTTTTATTTTTTTAGCAAGAGGCGCTGCCAGGTTGCAGTACGATTCCGGTGATACGTCACAACCTTAACACACTTAAAAAATATGGTTTAATGGAAGACATAGCTGAAAGTACACTGAAGTGTCTAACCCCATGGCTTATGCTTATTTTAGCCCATTTGCTGTGTTATGCCATGCCGTGCCCCACAATAGGTTAACAGTATACACTGTACTGTATATGTACAGTGCAGTACAGTGCGCACCAGTGCCTCTATTTACTCTGGCAACAGGCTGTGGTTAGCTCCACTTCCGTCTGTTATTCTTTCTTTTCAAAGCTGTTCTCTTGACTGATATTATTTATGACTGAAATGTCTGTTATAATTAGTTCACTATGCAAATTTGATAAGCAGTTTTTACTCAGTGGATTTCTCTTCATTTCCCAGTTACTCCAGACAAATGGCAGATTTTGTCTCCACTGCACCAGACTCTGTCTAGTTCACCTTAACCAATCTGTTAAATCATGAGTTTCTTGGCAATGCTTTTAGCTTTCATACATAGATGGACTCAAATGGATTACTCCAGTCTGTGGCATTAATGCAGCACTCTGTCTCTCTCTGTGGTGTAGGTACCAGTTGAATAAAATAGTAGTGGACACTGAGGCTGGGCCATATAGAAACCGCACCGTCCTCTTTCTTGGGTCGAGCAGAGGAACCATTCTCAAGTTTCTCATTATGCCAAATCAAGACAACACAGTGACCAGCAGCAACATCTTTCTGGAGGAACTGGAAGGATTTAACCCTGACAAGTAAGACTATATATTAAGACAACAGCATAGAGGCTTATTTATTCATGATTGACTTTGTGCTTATTTTCAATCATTTGGTGAAATGTTGACCTGCCATTTCAAAGTTTTACATAGCTCATGTTTCTCTGTCAAATATGTATTAAAGTAGTAGCACTGTCTATAACTAAATTTGTCTTTATGGAAAATAAATATTTTCAGTTAAATAGATTATTATACTTTCTGTGCTTCCCCTTTAAACACATAGTTGCTACTAAAAAGTACATTTTGGTTTTATTTCCTCTGTAACAAAAGAGTATTGTTCTTAGAGTAACTTCTTGTTTCAATGGAAAAAGATCTGATTTTTTTTATACTAAATGGTCTCTATTTTTTTATAGCACTTTTTCAAGTCAGGGGACTCCAAAAGGGCATCTCAACCTAAAGAGTCACACACAGAGAAAAGCTGTAATTAGAAAGGTGTTATTGAATTAATTTATACAGGTAACACAATCAAATTCTTCAAAATGTTTTATAAGGAAAACCAGCTGATTGCATGGACTCCTTGTCTCTCTGCAGTCCCTGCACTGAGCATGCATCTAGCGACAGTGGAGAGGAAAACTCTCTTTTAACCAGAAGAAACCTCCAGCAGAACCAGGTTCATCTGCCGAGGCCGACTGGGGTTTAATGAGACAGAAGCCGATAATGACATAAATTAAATAAGTTATTTGGCGCTCAGGCCCTGGCAGAAGACTTTGATGCTGTAAATCAACATTCGCTTGAATAACCTACACTAAAAATAGTAATGTAACTGTTTTTGCCATTTACTTAATCATATTTAGTTACTTTAACACAATTGTTTCATGTTAGCAGGGTAGGACATAAAACAATTGTGTTAAAGTAACTAAATATGATTAAGTAAATAGCAAAAACGTTTGCATTAGGATTAGGGCCAGAACACACCGATCGTGTACGACTTTTTAATTTCCTATCTGATTGTTTTCCATGTCACACTGACTTCGTAGAGTGGCTCTGACTAGGCAGCATGGGCAGATCAACTGAGAGTTTTTTCATTTTTGTATAATACACAAATGAAAACAATTTCCCATATTTGAATTGAACAGAATATGAAAAGTTATTAATGGAAAAATTTAATACAAATTTAAAAACCAGCGGCGCACTCTATAAAGCAAAGCCCCACTTAACAAGTCTGTCCAGCATAATGAGATCAACATCTAAAGAAAAGAAAAAAACTGCAATAAACAGCGTGGGAATGGTTTATATGCTGACTTAGGCAGAGAGGTGACTCTCAGAGAGATCTGGGAAGTTTATCCAAGTTTTTCCTTTCTTTTTTTTATAAAGAGGTGTGAGAGATACGCCGCGCTTAACTGCTCTGTCTGCCCTCATTTATTTTTTTTTGTGTAAGGCTCGAAGAAGATCTCTAACTATTTTACGTAACAGTTTTTCTCCTATCATAGATAAAGTATTAATTTTTTTATGTTTCATTAATTGTCCTTGCACAAGTCTGTCCTGCTATTCTATATACGCGATGTGCGACTCCAAAACTGACTGTTTCCCGGTGCAAATAACATTTTTTTTTTTTTTGTATTTCCCCCCAAAGCGGATGTGTTTTACTTTGTTATCGCATCTCTCTACCTGTCAGACCCATGAAATTGCAGCTGAATTGCTGCGTAGTCCAACTAGAATAGACCTGGGCTCTATCTAAGTAGGATCTACACAAGCACCCTTGCAGAAAATCATATCATTGCTAAACCCCACAACTTCGTCCGACATAATTTTCTGTCGGATCAGATCGGATCCGGTGTGTTCTGGCATGTAGAGTGGAGTCTTCCTCCCCCCGAGGCCCTGACACTGGTGGTGGAATAAGCTAGAGGATGAGTGGGACTGAGAATGAGGGAGGAGATGAGGTTGAGGTGGATGGAAGCGGCCCAAGTTGATTGGCTGGAGCTGATCAAGGGACATCGCAGGGGGTTCAGGTGAAGCTGATAAGATTGAATTTTCACTTAAGCTTCATTATACTACAATTAGTCATTCTACATTATAATACATTATAGCCACAGTCGCTCTGGGGCTCACTGACAAAGGCAAACCCCAGAGTAGACAGTCAAATCTGCAGATTCTGAGACACATGGAGGGATTGATTGACAAAATGTGGTTTAAGAAATACAATTTGGCTTATATTGTCATATTTTACTGTTAATTCTGTTTTTGTTAAGGATTATAGCACATGGTGCAGAAAGATGCCCTTATATCACCAGCACTATCTTGCTTTAAACAACTTGTGGTGCTTGTGAACACCTCAGAGTCCTAATCAGCTGATTTCTCATTCAAATTAGCAGTGTGGAAACATGTCGGAAATGGTATTTATGGGTTTAGCGGAAGATAATCAGCTGGGAGCCCAGTTGTAAGCAGCAGACTGACCTACTTAAACTCCAGCATGGAGGATATAGAAAAAGTCTGGGAAGATAAGAGAGAGCTGGTTGAAAATATGATGGTAATCTGACACTATTATTTTGAAAGCTCAACGTTTAATTTATTATTTTGTGTTTTTTTTGGGGCGCTTGTGTTTTTTTTATTGTTTGAAATAAGATATCAAAACTAAACTCTGAAGTCTTAAACATGACTGTTATCTCAATTAGGCTGTCTCTAGCTCCTGAAGTTTTTCTTTCTTTTGCAGCACCCAAGCAGTGCTGTGATAACATCAGTGTTTTGATGGCCAGAGTTAAACTGTTTTAGTTAAAAACAAAAAACAATAAGTTATATAGCAGCACAAGTACAGCACTTGAAAGCAATCTAATGCTGTTAACCTTCCAAAGGGTTTTGATTCCATTGGTGCACACTTTATCTTAAAAAGGGCAGGGCAAGGCAAGGCAAGGCAATTTTATTTGTATAGCACAATTCAGTACAAAGACAATGCAAAGTGCTTTACATGATTAAAATGTAGGAAAATAAAACAGAATCAGAGCAAGTAGAAGAAAAAAAAAAAAAATAACTAATAAAAAATGCAGAAACAACACAGAACATTAAAAGAAAAAAAGAAAAATTGATTTTGTATAAAGTACAAAAATGACACAATTTTTGAAGGAGCTCTTCTCTGGCTTTGTACACTTTGACCATGTTAAGTCTAAGTTGGCAGAAACACTGCAAGCAGAGCTGCCAACTCCACAATTAAATATAGGCAGACAGTTATGATATGAACTAGTATTTAGATTTTATGACTAGTTCATTCCAAGAATTTCAATCAGTAACGGGAAGACATTGCATACGTTACAGCCTGCAAATTCACAGTGGACAACTTCCCTCAAAGGAAGAAATATTAAGGACTTTTTTTAAGAATGACGTTATCAAAACTACTATAAGAAATCCCTTATATGTGATAAGATTTTTGAACTTAAAAGGTTCAAATCTTACATTAGGTTTCAATGTAACTAATGAATGTGTTCATTTGAATGTGACCACCAAGATACAAATCCCTATGAAGTTTCTGAGACAATGCAATAGCATACAAGAAAGAGAAATAGGATGATTAGATAAGACTTGAATGAAACCCTAATAATCATTATCACGAAGCAGACTGTCCTCTAATGAGTTTGAGAATTAGTGTTATGGGCAAACATTAGAAAATTATGAAAGAGCTAATCATCCTTGATCATGACTAAAGTTATTGCAAGGAAGGCTGACCCTCTATCTTCAGTCTGAATTGAATCCTATTCCTTATCTGGACCTTAACAAAAGATTTGGTTAAACAAGCCCCCCTGTGCTTCTGTAATTAGCATTTTACACAAGGCACAAGAGCTTCACTTCACGTCGGTTCTTTTTCCTGTTTTGTTCTTAGCTGAAATGCAGCGTTCCACATGGTGAATGACGGCAGTGGTGGTTTTAGGGGGATTGGGAGGGGTAGTAATTGTCACACAGATGCAGGCAGCTCTGGATGGTGATTATCTTTCTCTAAGGATAATTAAAGGCATTTCAAAAGAAAGTAAATGTTTCTAAACAGTTTCTGTTGCGCTAATTGGGCTTGTGAATACATAGAGCCTCTTTCACCGATAAGTGAAAGCCAAGCATTATTTACTGAATTGACCAGCTAGAAAAAGACTTTTATCTTGGAGTACTTTTCCTACTCCTTCAACCTATGCCTAGTAATTTCTGCCTCAAATTTGTCAAAATGAGGGACAGTGATTGCAAGTGAAATGAGGGGGGCAGCGTGGCAAGAAAGCTGGTGTGGGCTCGAGCCAGTGTTAGGAATAATTTGGTATTCATGGTAAGCTCGCTGGGAGGTCTCTGACAGTCCAGCTACCACAGCAGGCATCCAGCTAATCAGAAGACACATCTTGCTCCAGGCCTTCACCATTCCTAACCTGTGCATAACAAACAAACAAAGGAACCCTAGAGATTCACAGATTACAGACCTGGGGCCGATTTCTGATCTCTGATTTGTAATGCTTTGACCTGCTAATTCTGATCTTAGATGGATATTGAAATATGTTTTCTTGCCTTATAAAGAGAGCCACACTGTGAGAAAATATAGTCTTTGCTTTTTTTTACCCTCCTAAAAAACCTAAATGAAGAGTAATACCAACAGTTAGTGGGTGTTGGTCTTCATTTACCGTATTATTTTTAACAAAAGAATTAAGATCCTCACTGGTATTTTAAGATATCTAATCTAATCAAATATCTATCTTCAAAGCTTAAAAGGATACGAAAAAAGAAAAAAAGAGTGCACATTTAGCTTTCCTAGTATTACGCTGAAGCTGACTCCGGGTCATTCTTTCCTTTGCTGGTTTGAGAAGCTCTTAAATTGTTGAATTGCCAAAAAGACTAAAGATAGAAAAACAAAACATTAGTATTTTATTTTCTTCTGACCCACTGGTCTCTGTTAAGGGGCTCAGCAAACTGAAATAATCACATTTCTGTCTAAAGTCAGTTAAAAAGCTAAACCCCTCTTTACGTTTAAAAAGTTTAAAAATGTCAACGTTTAAAAATGTTATTATGAGTTATAGACAAAAAGCTAAAACCTTTGAGGTACTATTTGCAAAAGCAGATTAGTTTAAGGACACACAATCACAAATGATAATTACACATAATGACCCATTGACTTGATATAGAGCAGGTAGGTGACTTTAGTTTGCTGGTGTCATTTCTGAGCCTTGTTATGTGTACAAAGAAAGAACCTATTTAATGTATGCTGCATTCTGCTTATGTCTGTTTACTCTTCTCCTCTTCTTAAAGCCTTTTTTTGCCTTCTGACTCTCCCTATTCATTTCCTTGTATTTGATGATTTTGTCTGTGAAGAATAACTCCTAGCTTGGCCTTAGAAGGAATTATATATTCTTCCTAATGACTGTGGGCCATCCAAAATCTCATTACCATAAAACCTCTCCTGCAGATTTAACATGTGCATAATATGGTGTATATCTGCTGCATGAAGCCAGGTAGTTGCCAGCTCTTGTGCCTCAATTAGAGACAATGTGGACTAGGGGTGGGTATTGCCAAAGAAGTCACGATTCGATTCGAATCACGATTCACAGGCCACGATGCGATTCTATCATGATGCATCACGATACTTAAATTATTGCGATGCATTGCAATATTTTCTCCTCCATGTTTTGTTTTTGGATGACTCTGCACAGTATCCCGCGGCCGGAAATGCTTGTGACACAAGGCAGCGTGCGTCAACACATTTGCAGCGACATCTACTGGACTGGAAGTTGTATTATACTTGTTTTTGGCTGATGTTTGCCAACCATTCATGCAATTTTATTTATTTATTTTTTAAAATTAATAATCGATACTTGGCGTCAAGAATCGATGCAGTAGATCACGAAAATTAGAATCACGATGCATCATCATGACGATTATTTTGCACACCCCTAATGTGGACCCTGGCTGCTGCTTTTTGAGGGCCAGTCGACCCCTTAAAGATCCACAATCATCTCTGCATATTTAGGTTTGCATTTCAATGTTCAGCACTTGCTGCATTTCATTTATTTGTGTTTCACACCAAAACTAGAGAGTTTTTTTTTGCCCTGTTGTTCTGCTCAGATTAAGATCAGGGGTATGATGTGCACTGGCAAAGTGGTAATTTGAAATTGCCTAATGCAAATTTTTGTTGTTTGTGTGTGTTTCTTTGATGCAGGTGTGCTGAGGACTCTATGCATGCCAGACAGCTGTTGTCTCTCACCCTGGACCGGGCGAGCCACACATTGCTCCTCGCCTTTCCCTCCTGTGTGGTCAGAGTGCCTGTGGCCCGATGCCAGCTCTACTCCCGATGCATGAAGTAAGCCTGCAGAGAATAAAACACAACCCAGACCATAAATGGGCAGTTGGGTAGTAAAAGATCGTTGGTGACCTTAAAGGGACCAACTAGCATTTGTCTTTAAGTGAAGTGAAAAGGAGAGCTCTGACAGCTGCGGCAGACCTAAGCTTGCTGCAGTGGGAGAGACGCTCTGCTGGAAATTTTCTTTGGTCCTGATAAAAGGGATAGCAGTGTTCTGTTTTAATTATGCCTTCAAACAGAATAGTGTCCGGCTTAAATGACTAAGGCTGTAAGATTGTAAAATATTCTATATGTTCAAAAGGAGTTGAATCTAAACCTTTCAGGCGTAACATCACTTTTCTTCTTTAACATTACTTGGTATTTTTCTGCATCTTCTGACTAAGGAGAGTTAAATAAATGTATTTAATTTCTTGTATTTGTGCATTTTGCTGCAGTCTAACTTATTGGGAATTTTTTCAATTTTTTTTCTAATATCTGAAACTGTTAGATATAAAGCAAAATGTTAAAATGTAAAGTTATGTTTTATGGATCTCTTACACACAAACCAAGAAATCCCTCTGGAGGTTTAGAGGCACTGGAAATATTACCTGTGCTAATATTAAATACTGTTCTGTATTTTAGCATATCTGCTACTATATATAATCACATGCCATTGAAGATGAATCTGATTTAATAGCTTGTGATCATACCACTCAAAAAATACATTCACATTTGCGGGACACAATTAAGTGTATATATTAATATGACTATGAAATGCTATGCTAATGATATTTAACATTTTGTGCAAATGGTCATACTGTAAATAAATCTAAGGGTGTGGATTCTGAAGGTAACGTTTGAGTCAAAGGTGTTTTTTCAGGATTTTTTGGCCCTAAACTTCAATGAGGTGGCATACTACTGTCCTATTAAAGTTTTTTATTTTATTTTTTAAATAATTTCAACATTCTGTTATTATATTTCGACTATTATAATCAAAGCATGAAGTTTAATCAAGAGCAGAACCAAAAAAAGAACACTCCAGATTTTCTGATGGCTTTCTTTTGCTTTGGACAATTTCACTGATCATTACACACACAGATGCATGAATGAGATATAATGACTCTCCACATGCATACACCCATGCAATCAGAGCAACACATAGCCCCACTCCTCTCGTTTTGAGACCTGTGACTGCAGCCTGCTGGGGTCCACCTCCACACTAACAAAAACCAGTGCACCACCCGGCAGCACATGTGATGTGTGTTCACTGGAGCAGGTGAGTCATACAGGCGTATAATCAAGACCACATTTGGAAACCACTCATATGCTCCCTGAGGTGTATTTAACATGTGTGCTTATGTGTTTAGATTTGCGTATCAGGATTCACTTTCTGTGCATGAGTAGGTTCAGGATTTTTTAGTCACGCTTCGGCAGTTCCTGCTCTGTTTTTTTAACCTCTGAGTAGTTATTGTGAACTTTTTACATATTTTTTTAACATCATAGTAAAAGATCTGTAGATCCCTATCATTTACTAAAGCTAAGATTTTCCAGCTATTCTTGAAGTTAAGTTGTAATTTTCCGTATTTTACTATAAGGAAAACAATTATAGCGTGTACAAAACATGTAGTTTAGACCAGGGGTCTTCAACATTTTCCAGGCCAAGGACCCCCAAACTGATGGCGAGATGGAGCGGGGACCCCCTAATTATATATATTGTATGAAATTATTATATCAAACTGGTCTTTAGTCACTCTATTACAGATGGAGTCATGCAACAAAAGTAATTTCGCACTGGGATTATATGAAAGTATTTCTGATTCTTATTCCTCGTTGATAGGACAGGTGTTGTGAATGAAACGGTGCCCAGCTTGAAAGAGCTCCTGTGTGTCGCTGAATGTGTGCATTGATGACTAAAAGAAATCTTCTGCCTCCATTTATGTTTACTACAGTGTGTTGAATTCATGTTAATGTGGATTTAAAGACATTTCATTTAGTGGAAAAAAATTGCAGAGTGGAATATTAAAAAAAGTCTAATAAACTAAAACTTTCATGACCCCCTAGAGGTCACGGACCCCCGTTGAAGACCTCCGGTTTAGAGTTTTATAACCATGCTTTTGTTCACAAAACAAAGGTACAGCTGTTTTTACAGACTAGTTTGTAATTGATACATAAAATATTGTGTCAGATTTTTGCATGTAGTTCATTTATATTTCACATAGAAATTATACCAGAAGCTTTACATGAACCTGTTTTTTGTGTTCATTAAAAGACTTGTCATTTTATTGTTAAATGAAACCAGCTGAGTTTAGTTTAGTTTTAGTATAAAGTCAAAAAAAAAAAAAGATATCTTACTGATTTTATGAGACATTGTTGAAAAACTCATATCTAAATTGAGGAACTACACTTGGTGCAAATACAACTCAAATCAGTCCATATATATATATATATATATATATATATATATTTTTTTTTTTTTTTTTTTTTTTTTTTCAGTCCATACAGTTTGATTAGAACAAAATTTACTTCAGCTGTACTTTTGAGTCTGGCTGTTATATTTTTTTGCATATATTTTTTGTTTTATTACTGTAATACAAAAAACAATTAGTTTAAATTAATACAAACCAAAACTCCTAGTTATATTTAAAGTTTTAATAACTTAGGAAAGCTATCCTAAGTTATTAAGATTTTATGATAAAAAGTAACTGCTTAGTCACTTTACCTAGTAACGAGTTAGTTTGATTGAGCAGTAACTGAGTTGGTAACTCAGTTACCTTTTGGGGGTAGAAACTATAACTAGTTATGTTTTTCAAATATGTACCCAACACTGTTGTTGAAACGGAACATAACTTCCTATGAGATTTTTTAAGATATTAAAATGTTCTGGCAAAACAATCTTGAACCTGGGGACTTTTTATTATGTTTTATAGCTTTTTAGCATCATTTTTAGTATCTTTTCGTGTATTTAGTAACTACATAACAATTTTATACATCCTTAATTGAGGTAAATCTAATAACTATTAGACAGTTGAGCTCCTGGTAGGGGTGATATAAAATTGAAATGCCACTACACTATTTGGCAAAACAACACTTAGAGTCACTTTTAAGTATATGTACCTTTCAGTAAGGCAATTATTATATTCTTTTATCATTGCCAATCTTTATTGTTCCACTTCTACTATTTCCCTGTAAGTTTAATGCAAATAGATTTTACTGCTCAGGGAAAATACAGATTCATTCTAATAAAATAAACATGTATCTGGTCGATTCAAAACATGTTTTTGACTTCACATTTTTGACTTTTCACTTCTTTTTTTATTTTCATTTTAGATTATTTAGTGATCAACTACAACAGCTGTAAGCTCCCCCCATAACCTGCTATGATTAGCAACAGCATCTAATACCTTCACAACAATAATAAGTGGAGCTTGGGGGCACTGATCAGTTCAGTTCTTTCCCTGTTTAGTTGCAGCTGACCATTTTCTTTTGTTGATTCTTATCACATCTCGACAGAATGACAGAACGTCATCTGGCTGTTCAGAAACAGAAAGTGTAAAACACAAAGCTCAGCACAGAATCACTTAGTCAGAAAAGCAGCAACAGACTGAAACTCAGTACTGCATGTCCTTCCGCACCCAAAGTATGTCTATATTTTTTCGTTTTACTGTCCCCTAAACTGCAATTGAATGATGTAAAAAATGTTTCCTAAACCCTAATATGCCATACTAGGACTGTATTACTAAAAGTACTAGTGAAAACATAATTAATACTTCCATTATAAATCATGAGCAGAGGAGGGAAGAACTAACAGGAGGTTATGTTGTTTTTCCCTTGGGGATCATTTATCTCTCAGGAATATAAAGTAAGGTAAAAACAGCATTATTGATCTGTTAAAAGTCACTTTAATCTTTTCTTTTCGGTCCTGTCAGTTTCCCTTTCCTTCTGGGTAAATCAAACAGAATATGTGAAAGCTGTGGAACTCTAAGTGGAAAACTGTGATATCACTAACCTTAAAGAAGTATGAATATGGGCTTAATTTTCTTGTATCATTCTACGGGCTTTTTTCCATACCTAATTTCAGGATGCAAAACATTCCTTGCAATAAACTTTATCAAAAAGGAATGCTCACACCCTGATCCAAAAAGTAGACATGGCGACTTTCTTACCAGCACTGAAAGATAGAATTCTAATCATTTAATTATCTCCCTCCTGTTCAACTGCATACGACCTATAAACCTTAAGGAAACCTGCAGTTGAAGAGTGAGGAGCTTAATTAACAATGTCATACAGTATATCATTACAATGAGATCTCCAATGTAAGATAGAGGTTGAGTATTTAGAGGTTAGAACTCAGAGCTCTGAATACTCTAAAGCTTTGCCTACTTTTGTTAGTCTGTCATTCTTATCCGCTGCTTTTTTCATAAGCCCTAACCCTAAGCCCTAATTCACTACATGTCATCGTAATGCTCTTTACAGAAACAAACCTATTTAATAGTACAGATTGGTTAAACGTGTTCTCTGTAGTGACACTTAGCTGACTGCCGTGAGTCAATGACTCAATGCTTGTGGTGATAGGAGACATTAATCCCTTATATTTAACATGTATGTAGTGACAGTGGAGAGAAAAACTTCCCTTCTAATAAGAAACCTCCTGCAGAACCAGGTTCATTGTGATTAGCTTTATGCCAAGGGCAAGCGGGGATTCACAAGGACGGAAGCAGACACAGAAAAGGAACATTGAAGCACTGATCTATAAAAATTTTCTATATTAGAAAATATATGGGTAAACTAGCTCCACTGGTAGCTCTGCCGAGGAGAGAAACTTTTAAATATAGTAACTCTTAGCCAGTTTTCTTTGAAAAAGAATGAAAGAGAGTACACACTAGAAAAACAATCTAGAAATAAGTTAATATGTCTTAAATTCTGTGTATTCAACCTTAATTTGAGTAGGTAAAGGAGATACTTTGCTATGGAATGAGTATTTTTACTCTTAAAATAAGATAATTAGATAATATGCACTTGAAATAAGACAATGCAATTTTGTTTTCTTATTTTAAGTGTAAATTGTCTTTCCATTGGCAAAATGTCTCTTTTACCTCCTCAATCCAAGAACAAATGCACGTATTTTAAGAAAAAAAATATATTTTTTCCCAGTGCATACAGTTAGTCACAGTAAAATCTGACCTAACCTAAACCCTAAGCACGGACAACAGGTGCAACTCTTTCATCTATAACAGAAGCTGTTTCCAGCAGCCCACCTGATGCCTTCCTCCAGAATGGTTTCACAGCCAAACAGAGCAACAGGCCAGATGGAGCTACTATAACAAGAATAAGCACAGAGGAAACAAAATTAGAAGTTGAACTAAGAAAACAATGCAGAACAGAAGCTGAATGAAGAGAAGTGTTCCCTTGGCCCTCCTATACTTTAAGCCTATAGAAGCTAGCTATAAAGATAGTTCAGGATAACCTGAGGCACTTTAACTGTAAGCTTTATCAGAAAGAAACTGTTTATGCCTATTCCTAAAAGTAGACACAGTGTCTGCCTCTTAGACTAAAACTGTCTCTACTTTTGGAAATTCTAGGAACAACTGGTAAATCTTCAGGTTGAAAGTGCTCTATTAGGCACATAAGGAAAAAAACTAAAATATAAAATATAAAATGGAGCTTAATTAGGGCTTTATGCGTGAGAATGGGCATTGTAATTTCTGTTCTGGATTTAACAGGAAGGCAGCATTTATATGTAGTCAGCATTTAGTATTCCTTTTTTTTGGATTATAAAGTGCTCTGAGAGCGCCTTTTTGCTTTGAAAGAAAACTATGGTGAAATTGCTGTTAGACATTTTGGTATTAGTGACACGGGTTACATTAATTTTAACTAGATGACAACCTGATTGTAAGATGGGAAATACTGCAGATTTAACATAAATCAGTCATAGCTAAATATAAATCATGTAAAAGGTAATAAAGTCTGTCAATTGTACATTGTACAGTGATTTTCATTATGGTCCTGGTTAAATTTTATCCTCGACATGACCTTCTTACCAAAAAAATAATAATTTCAGATTCATATGTTGCATTTTTAGGAGGAAGGGTCTTTCTCTACAAAATTGCAAAAAAAAATTAACAATTGAAACTTCGATTTGTAATCCTAATGACTTCGAGCAGGAAGCATTTAATCTGATTTAATGAGTTAACTGTGAGCCTTTATGTTTTAAATTACTTTCCCTTTAAGCTGCTCTCATCATCAAACATGTAAGAGACTAACTTTGGGGCCTTCTTAAGTGAACCCAGTTTAATGTTAAGGGTTAAATTAATTTATTTTTCTCTGGTTTCCCTCAGAAACTGCATCGCCTCCAGGGACCCATATTGTGGCTGGACCAGAGGAAGCACCTGCTCCTTCCTCAGACCTGGAACAAGGTGGAACACTTTTTCTATGTTGCTACACAATCTATAAGCACACCGACATACTTCTATTTCCTGTCTCCTGGTTCTATGACATTTTTTTCTTTATCCTATTTTCAAGTTCTATTACCACTTTTCCTTCTCTTTGATCCTAAAGTTCTGTTTTTGTGTTGATTTATTTTTTATTACTCATCCCAGGGTGATTTTTGCCTTCTAAAAGAAAAACTGGTAACATCTCATGCATTATTTATCCACTTTGGGAGTTTTAGAAATATGATAGAAATATGGTGTTAGAGATATGATTTTTTTCTTTTTTTGGTTCCTGATTCTAATCTGTCACCCACTCTGATCTTTACATACTTGTAGAATGTGTATGACTGATCTTAAATATTGTTATTTTTTTTTTGTTTACCTGTTGAGTTGTCATGAAGCATTGCCTTTTTTTGGGAGGTGTCAAGTTTGCATATGAATTCCTCTGTTTCTCTGTTCCTGCTGCAGTTGTCTGTCTTCTCTGCTCACTTTCAGTCCTGTTCTTTTCCCTCCACTGAAATCAGATTTCTCATAAGTTAAGCTGCTTATTGAATTAGGCTTTCCAACACAAGTGTAGTGCCTACTGAACAGACAACACAGACCTTAAAGACCACCTTGGGCATGCTGCTTATACTATTAAAGACCTCTGTGTATGTCTTGATTAGATTTACCAAGGGCGGTCAACCTGGCAATCGATTCTGCATTAAGTTTCTGAGGATTTCCTCTCTTTGGATTAATGCAACCTTTCTCAGGTAGCCTTCACCAGAGGAGAGGGACATGGAGTTGTAAATTGGACAGCCACTGTGGAAGATGGGTTATTATTTTGAATATATTTTTTGTGTAAAGTTAGATTTTTAGATATATAGGTTTATTGTTACATAAAATAGAAAAAAAGTGGCATGGGTTAATATGTACCATCAACATGAATGTCATATTAACTATATGCTTTTAAGAATCCACCCATTAACAAGCTCATAGCATCGTTCTGGTCAGATAGTGAAACAGTCCTCTTGGCAGAATTGATCATTTACGTAAAAAAAATTGTTTTCTGTGCTGACCCAGGTTTTTCGCATAGGCATTGAATTGCTTATAGACATGGAAGAGAGTCAATACATAACCTTGTAAGCTCGATTTAGCCATTCCAAAACAAATTTGATGCATGTTTGAGATCAATGCCCTGCTGGAACAGAAATTTCTGTACAAGTTTAAATGAGGTTGATGTTCTAAGTGACATAAACAGGTAAATCCTTACTCAGAATGTTGTTAGAGTTTGTACAAATTTATAAGGAATTAATGATTAACTTTACAATCATAAGCATATATTTATATCAAGTTGAAGCTGTAGACAACTTGTGATCTCCCTTCTTGCTCTGCTGTCATCTCAAAAAACTTTTTGTGTTAAGATAATTAATAGGTAATGACTGACCTACTGGCTGACAGTACAGCTGCAGTTTCAGGAGATCCCACTCCACGCCAGTCTCAGAAAGCAACCACCCAGGTCTTACCAGGGGCTCTGCCACTTATACAAAGGTTTAAAAGGTGGCTATTTCTTGAGAAACTAACTAAAGAGGTGTATTTTGAGATGTACTAGGACAGTGAAAATATCTGGGAGAATGTGTATGGAAACGCACCTGGGCTTTCAAAAACCCCACGATTTTTAGTGCCAATTGTACAGGGGCTTTTGATACCATTAGCTCCATAGTTGACAGTTGTAACAGGGCATCCTGACCTTTCAAAATGAACTTTTTGTCATAAAAATCTCAGTCTTTTTCTGATCTGAATACAGTATATCTCATTGGAATCTGCACACATCAGTCAAAGACAGTTTTAAGATCTCTTTCTCGTTTGGCTTTCATGCACTTTAAGTAATCTTGTTTTTGAGTCTTGGATTAATCCTGGAATCCGAAACAGTTTCATTTAATCTTAGGGGGAGAAAAATGATATTTTAAAACATATTAATTATGAACAAAACAGGTAATGGTGCCTAGCATAAAGAGGCTTGCTTAATATAAAGAGGCTGGCCTGTGAAGACATCTGATGTTTGGTTCTCAATCTTGGGGCTCTAGCTGCAGGTCTTCCCCCTTTCCTCCGTTCGATTATGAATAAACGCCACCAATGGCACAAAATGTTAAAAATAAATGCAAAATTTGAAAGGCTTTCATGTCTAGGATGACTGCGTTTGGACTTCTGACTAGAACTGCGATTTGCATTTATTTACTCCTTTAAATTAGCATTTGTTCCATTTGGTAACAGAAGGTGGACCTTTATGAATTTCATGATCGCTTTCAGCTTGAAGTTTCAACATCTCTGTTCTCTTGCCAGGAATTTGTGCTTTTAAAACAGGTCCACATTAAAAGGATACAGATGTTTTGTTAGGAAATTATGGTAATTACTTGATATCCTATTTTCCTTGTGCAAGAATAAAACAAAGGTTATCAGAACCTTAGTTTAAAGAATCATATTGCAGCACTATTACCGATATGCAGCAAACATCATCTGGTCTTTCATCATATCCTATTTTGATGGCCTAGAATAATGAGCCAACACACCTAGAGGAACGTACAAGAAGTTAAAAAGCAACACTTTCAGCCTACATGTTTAAGTAGCAGGCATTATTCTTTATTAGGATGACATCTGCCATGCCTTCACTGCATATTTAAACTCATTCGTCAAAGTGTTTTTCAGACATTAAAAGCCAACTGGTTACTGTGCAGAAGGTTTTCTAATTGCACAAACAAGCTTCTAAAGACAATTTATCATCCCTGTGCATTCTCATCTGCATTCCTTCTTAGCTGCTGTATGTGGGACAGATATTTATTTTCCATGGAAGCCAAAACAATCAACAGCCTAACCATATTTAAATAAATTGTATGTGATACTATATATTCTATTAGAATATGACTTTTTCTTGTGTCTTTCTGTTAAAATACAAAATTTCATCAATTCTGTAGTGAAGTTTGAATACATTATGGAATATATCACTACTTTCTAAGCCTATAACATTTGCTTGATGCTTTTTCTCTTTTAGTTTTATTAGCTCATGCCAGGTCATTATTCCTGCCTCTAAATTCCAGACTAAACCTCAGAGGAGGTTTTGGACAGTGTCGGGTCCTTTTCCTTCCTGTTTCTGGTCTTTATGAAGATCAAACTTGATGGTCTGCTGCCTTGGGGTTCAGATTTAATGCAATTACAGAATGTTATCAACTACCTCCATCTACCACTTAGAATCTAAACATACTCCCCTAGTTCCTCCAATCACTAATCATTCCTCAGACTGCAAACAAATCAGATTATGATTTGAACTCAAGAGCAGACTTAATGTAATGTTATTTACAAGTAACCATATTATTTAGTTAAAGACACGTCATTGATGGTGCTTTCAGCTTTACAGTACCGGACAGATTTAGCTATTTTTCCATTGACTCCTCTTCCTGTCCTCTCCATGTCTTTGTGCTCAGCACTTCTGTCACTTTCAGTATTTAAATGTCACTGAGTGTTGCAGTTTGCATCACACTTTTTTTTTTTTTTTTTTGGAATTGAAGTGTAAGAAGCAAGACTTATCTGTGGAAAATTAATCAGAATGGCATTTCAGAACTAGCTTCAAAGGTTATTCTTATTCCTAGTGGTCTAACGGGTTCTGCTTTTTCAGGAGTCAAATCAAAAAACCAAATCTGTGCAGTTACTTGTTTATTGGTGATATTTGTGGGAGAAATTCATAATACTGCATGTCAATTGGTTTGTACTTTTGATTGATTAATTTTATAAGGTTTAAGTTTAATAACATGAATATTATTAATGAAATAACCATTATAGATAATAACTTGATCATAATACAGCATACCAGAAATCAGACACATTAAATCTTTACAATTTTGTCATGAGACAATCCAGAATTGTCTATATTCTGATCAGCTTTACATGACAGACCAACGCAAAGCTGCTAATAGCAACTAAATGGAAGAAAACAGTTTTTAAATATATTCAGGAAACTGTGAAATGCATTTAATTCAACCTCATTTGATAAAATCCAGTTCAAGTAATTGACTTTTAAGGTCAAACATGAGGTTATAGGGATGTTTGAAGAATATATATTAAGCTTTAAACATTTACATGCCTAAGTTATAGGCATTAACCTAAACTGACAGAGTCCTAATGGCTTTATGAATTGAGGATTAAACAGACATAATTATCTTCTTTGTCGACACTCGATACCGTGGAAGAACAACAGGTGTAATTTTCTCTTGTAACCCGTTAGCTGAATGGTGAGATAACGTCACTCTTCTTTCATTTTTTAACAGAGGTAAACATCCCTATTTCCACCTCTAGCTAGTTGAAAATGAGACGAGAGATTAGATTGCTCATCTGCTCCCAACGCAGGGGTTGTAATTTCTGTGGGGACGATCCGGTATAACTAGTTTGGCAGACAACTGAACATCTATGTCCATGCGTGCATCTACCTGAAGCACACGTTCTGTCAGAGGGCTCTCATGGGAAAGTCAGAAATTACAGAGTAGCTCTCAAATAAATTATTACATTGAATGCAGTCTGACTAACAAACAGACAGAGCTTGGCCCATTAAGAACACCCCTCCTTATGTGCTAAATAAGACAATAAGGTAGACAAAAAAATAAATAAATAAATAAATAAATAAAGGCAGAAAGAAGCATAGAGAAAGAAAAAAAATTATATTGTATATATGCATTATTTCATCACTGCTTATATTTAAAAATTTCTTGTAACTTGTGTGTATTAATTGTATGACAAAATTTTTTGAGTACTCCATATTGATGCAGTGGAAGGTGGCTCTACCAACTATGGAATGATCAGTAAATAATTACAAAACCATGAATCATTTTGCAAAAATGCACTAAAGTTTGCAACTTAATAAAATGTAAAAAGGAATGTGTATAGTTTTGTAGGATGCATTGGGTTTTATTTTGCAATTCATAAATGACCTGGAAAAAAAAATCTGCATCTTTCCCTCGCAATAACTTACCCTTTCATATGAATTTCATTAGCTGAGCTTTGTAGAGAATGAAGCCTGCAGGCAAGTAGATTGTTTTGCTCAAACTAAACTACACACTTTTTTCTGCCCCTTCCAACCTGGTCCTGTTCCCCTGACACGAATCATAACCACAAGCAGTTGTGTTTGTCTTTGAGAGCACCTGGCCTGTGCTGAGCTGTTCTCATTTCCTCTGGACTAACTTCACCATAACTTATACTGCATTGATTTTCCCTTTGTTCCCCCCTGTGTTCCCCTACTGTCAAAATGGGAAATGAGTTGCAGGAACACAATAGGTTATCGTTTTTCTTTTGGATTATTGAAATTTCAATTTGAGAGTATGTGTTTTTGTTTATGCCCTGCGTCAGGCTGGCGACCTGTCCAGGGTTAACCCCACCTTTTTCCCATAGACTGCTGGAGATAGAAAACGACCCTACTGCAAGACGGATGGAATAATGTTTATGTTTAGTTTAATGTGTGAAAAATACTCGTACTTGTACTCATCGTCTCCCGCTTTATCCGGAACCGGGTCGCGGGGGCAGCAGACTAAGCAGAGACTCCCAGACTTCCCTCTCCGCAGACACCTCCTCCAGCTTTGTTGGGGGAAGCCCTAGGCGCTCCCAGGCCAGCCGAGAGACATAGTCTCTCCAGCGTGTCCTGGGTCATCCCCTGGGCCTCCTCCCGGTGGGACATGCCTGGAACACCTCCTGAGGGAGGCATCCAGGGGGCAGTCCCCCTGGACGCCTCCTGTGTGAAACATATTATTTTTGTATTTTTCTGAAATCAATATGTTACAATTTGTTAGAAATAAGTATATGATGTCCTGCCTAGAAGGAAATTAACAGTGTGTCGTTATGTTGGTTTTGTTTCAATAAGGAGGTACAGAATATTTACCAAAAAAACAATAAAAAAAACGAACACACAAAATAAGTGTTAGAAATGATTTACAAGTAATTAGGATGATGAAGTATTTGATCCCGTTCAGGAAAAGGGCTGGATCCAAAGGACTAATTTAGCCAATTAAAAACCGCTTTGACCTCAACTGATTCAGCACACGGGTGCAGCTGTTTATTAATTGATTTATGATCGTTCAACATCTTCACCACATTTGAGAATGAAACTAAATTTGAAAGCTGTGAGGGACAAGAGAGTGAATCTAAGAAAGGCAATATTGGTCAGAACCATCAGGAAAAGGCTATGGGAACAGCTGTTGGTGCATTCATTTAGAGATTGCGGAAATGACCGTGAGTCCCCCTCAGCCTGGAGCTCCAATCAACAACTTGGCTCATGGGATGAGGATGATCAGAAGAAAGTTGAGCAATCAGCCCACAAGGGGCACTTGTTAATAATCTGAAGACAGGTTTGGAAACAGAGTGCTTTGTCTGGATTAAAACATTGTGATTTCAAACTGGAGCTGCAAACTACTGCAAAAAAAGTTGTCTTGTGTGTCATTTTTTATGAATTTAATCTAGTTTTCTATTGACATGGTGAGTGAGCAATATTCACCTTTTATCACTGTGCAGATGTGTCTGTTTATTACCATAGTTCTTGTATTTGAAGTTCTTGTACACCAAATAAGTATCCCCTAAACAGCACGGAAGTCAGAACATTATGCTTCAAAACAGTTTCTAAGTGAAGCCTTTTAGAAGGCCCTTATTCATTGAGTCAGAGTCTTCAAGATTGACTTTAAATTGGATTCCTATTATAACAGCGATCCCAGAAATACAACATAGGCAATAAAAAGAAGGGGCGCAAAAATAACTGTGATGAAAATGTGATAATGAAAACTGTAGTACGAGTATGAGGCAGGAACTTGAAGCCTAAAGATGATTTTGTTTAATGATGTTTGTTTACTGTTTCTAAACATCAAAAGTAGGTTATGTGCATATAAAGTAAATGTAGCTTTTGGAGCTACACAATCTTTGAAGAAACCTTGAAGAAAATGGAATTTATATTTACAGCCAGAATACTTTATGTGAAGCTAACCTAGAAATATTTGTCATCCAGTTCTCAAATTATCTTAATTATGGACACAGCTGCAGGCATGAATGGTTATCTTTAAATTAGAGTGGTAATTATTATGGAGCATTAGGTACCTCAAGGGCATCTTTTGTTCTTTTAAAGATTTAATGAAATTTTTGATTCAGTTTTTCAAAATAAAAATAAAAACATTTTGTAGTTTCATGAGGGAAAAAGCTTTAAAGTGTCTAACCGTAAAGATAGCCCCTATCAGAGTTCATCTGCACTGTGTTTCGGTAGCTGGCTTGTTGTGCTTCTGCAGCCTCTGATTAATGAACGTACCTTTTATCCTCCACAGACTGCCATTCGAGCAAGATGTTGAACACGGAAATGTGGCCCACTTGGGTGACTGCGACGGTAAGAGAAATGATTCCCTGTTGATTTACCTATGTGAAAGTAAATGGGATTATCTTGTATTTGCTTCCTTTTTTTTGATACAGGCTTTGTATTTCTCAGCACAAACAATAAGATAGAAAAAGGGAAAATAAGCCCAGGTCTTTTTATTTTTACAGAAATGCACAAATAACCTCAAAGATGATTCCCAGTTTTCAACAGTGCCCTGTAGTATCTCATTCCTCTGCAGAGTAAACATCTAAATCTAATATGCCACCCTGCTGGTCCCATTTTGTCCTATTTTTGCATAAAAAATCTATTTTTCTTCAGATTTCTGCTTTTCTGCTAAGCTCTATATTTTCTAAAAGAAACTAATTATGTATAACTTCAGCCTTTTTCCTTTCTACGTATCACTATGAAAATAGATGATTAAAAGCATCTGCTGTAGATACTCAGGGGTTTTTAGGATACCCCCCCTGACATCCTCGCACTTTGATCTTAGTGCTAATTCCAAAGCGTGCAAATTAATCCTTCACTTCACTTGTGACCGGAGTTCATGTACCCGTGCTCCTGGAGAAAAGAGAGATAAATATTTCAGAGAGGGAGTTCGTGTACTAGTCTAATCCTGTTTTAGATGGATGCTCCGTTTGATGCTGTGCTCTCACTTCAGATGCACTGACCAATGAACCACAGGGGGGTGAACCCTGTAATCGGGGGCTGATGCTCAGTCTGTATGTGGAAAAGTTGGGCTAGTTATTTATCTTCACTAAGCCCATGTGTGTCCATTTTACAGAACAAGCGAGGGACATTAATAAAAAAATATGGCCATACTTCTGAAGAGCTGGCAAACAATTGTCAGTCAGTAAATCCCACAGTTCATGTTATGAAACGTTCCTGTTTGCTAAACAATATATCTGAATCTCCTCAAAAGATCTGAGAATTTTCCTACTGAATTTCTACATACTGCGGCTTTCAGCTTGAAATAGTTATATATAAAACTTTGTAATTGGTAGATGAGTATAATTAGCTTTCATATTTAGTCCTCCACAAGCTTAAAGCTACAGTGTGTAATAATTACAGGGATATACAGTCAGAAATGTAATATATTATACATAACTATGTTATTTATCATCATCTACGAGCTCAGCCTCTTAACCTTAATATTTGCGTTGGCTTAGAATTCGTTATTTATAATTACATAGGAGCGGGTCTCGCAGCCATGGAGGCAGACATCTTTGCGCTACGGCAGCGCAGAGCCAACAAACTAGCGATTGCGAGATCGCCCATTACGCTCGAAAGTAACTACGGCAAGTTGAGAGAGATGAACTGAGACGGTACTGAACAATAGATGGCAGTATTATGCCTGAGAATACTATCTGTAAAATTATCTATGTAAACAAACCTCATCACTTGAGAAGGTAGGTGATGCGGACGTCGTGGAAGACATTTTGTCCCGTAACGCTCGCCGTACTGTTGGGGGGGAGAAGCGGTGGGGGGGGGAAAGTTCATGTTGCTGCGGTCTGCAGTCTGGACGTTAGATGTCGCTAAAAATTACACACTGTAGCTTTAAGACTGGAACTCTATATTACATTTTGACCTCATGAAAGAATTTATTAATTATACTCAAGAGGCACTCACCCTCTCTTATAATATGTTAACTTTGTGAGTTATTATTTCGTTTTAAAGATGGGAATCTTTGTGAAATTTATTAAATTTAAACAATAAAAAAAACATGCTGTTCTGATCGTAGCCCAGGATCATGGGTTGGATCAGTCAGTATTGTTGATTTTCATGTTTTTATGCAAATTTAATTTTTGCTATCTTTATTTCCAACCCACACAGATTAAGTCTGGAAAATGGTATGCTAACTGTTTATGCTATAAACCTGTACATTTTGCTGAGGTAATTACCATCTAAAAACAATCCAGGTAATATCCTTTCATTATTTTTTCACGGGTTTCAGACTTATACTAAAAAAAGCTTTTAAAGGTTGTTTAGCTTTTATTTTCTATACATTCATAGTTTGTTATTAGAGAGTACAGAGTCTTGAAGGGATCCTCATATTTTAACTAATGTTGAACATTTATGAGAAATTCATCGTGAAATGGCAAAGCTCCAACATCATGAAACAATGCTTTCATGATACATTTGTGTTTTTTATGCCCAAATCTAAATTAAAAAGGCTACATTGGCTTACAGATGTAAGTGTGAGAGCCTGACAGAGAGGTTATATGTTGAGATACAGAAATTTTTGCAGCTATTGTTTATTTTAGAGCAAAGTAACTCAGCTCCATTCTCTGTTTTAGTTTTCATCAACTACTCACTCCTATATAGAATATTGTTTAAAGTGGGAACAAAGAGCCACACTTCTCAGGCTTCTTCAACCTCTTCAAGTTTACAATTTAAGCAGAGCCAGACTACATCACCTCTCATGAAGAAGCCTAACTGAATGTGTTTGTGTAAAGTAACAGTCTTACAGAGAAGCCTGATAAAACCTCAAGAACACAATTTATTTAGTGAATGATGAGCAAATGAATAACTGAAAGTTAGAAAAACGTTTGCTCGCTGATCTTGAAAGATTATTTTATAAGAATTAATTTGAAATTAGTTTTATCCATGGTAGTTTTAGACAAACGCAAACTGCTAAATCAGTTTGTTATACCATCATCATCATCATCATCATCATTGCGTTGAATCACACTTTTCTTACTGAAGACCTACCTTAAAATCAGTATATTTTTTCACTTAACCTTTATAAAGCAGATAATCAGTGATGTTAATCGGTTTGTAATTAAGATTTTCTTAGTAAGCATTCGTTATTCACTTTTGGAGCTCATTGTCTGAATGTTTTGCAGGATCTATTGTTCTGTGTTTTTCTACTTGTCAAAGTGTGCATACTAGTTTTATCTGCAATATCTCTTTGATTTGCTTGAATTGCTTGAACTGTACATTTCTTTTTTAAAAATCCATTTTTTACAGATCAACATATTCTATTCAACATACAGATTGGAAATAGAACACATATCTCTGACATAAAATGTAAACAATAAGTTGTGAAATAACAAAAATAGATATTTTGACACTTATTAAAATGGCATTTTTGAATCGGTCATGATATGAAAGTTAAAATAGTTGGAATAATAATTTCTATTTCATTCTTTTGACCCTGTTTGAATAAACTGATATTGGTTCTACTGTATCTGAACAACTTTAAAGTGTAACTTAATCTAAAGGCGATATTGTGTTTGCGTAGTTTTTTTGATAAAATGATTAGAATAAATGAAAAATAGTGATTACATTATGAAAAACAAATTATTAAGCAAAAATGTACATATTGCTATAATCTCTGTCTATATTCATCTACCAAGAAGGCAACTATCACTTCTAAAAACAAAAAAATGGTACCAATAATGGGACACTACATGCTCACCCATGGAGTACTTTATTTATGTTTGGAAATTACATCTCTACTATCATGATCTTTGATTTCTGTCTGTTAATTAAGGTTTTCAGCCTCATTCTGATACATTATATACATATATTCTCCACATTAATATAGAATAGAATAGAATAGAATAGAATAGAATAGAATAGAATAGAATAGAATAGAATAGAATAGAATAGAATAGAATAGAATAGAATAAGATAGAATAGAATAGAATAGAAAATCCCCTTATCATCCCGCTATGGGGAAATTTTGGTGTTTACAGCAGCAAAAAGATTAAATGGTCACACAAATGTGGAAATTAGAAGAGTGTATAAAAATAACATAATAGTCAAGATTCAAAGAGAAAACAAATAAAATATTGTACTGTAAGGTGTACCTGGAGAATAAATAACCAATATACAGCAGTGGACATTTGTACAGTAATGGATTTTTGAAAATAACAGCAACACCAGAGATGTGCAAAATGATAGCAGCATCTTATCTGTACATAAATGTAGAGAATTTTATTCTGCATTTATGCTGCTTTCTCTACTGTTGCTCAACACCTGTCTGTCCTCTGCACAATCACCCCTATAAAAAAAGTGCAGCAGAATAAACAATTTACTGTGTGTAACTTGAATTCCAAAATAATATCTTGTAAAAAGAAAGCATCTATTAAATACATCTGCAGCTGAACCCACTGGCAGCCATTTTCATTTGGTAAGAATGTCTTCAGTGGATCAGCAGGTGAGACAATGTGAAGATGATGTAATTTTCCAGATCATTGACTCTGACGGAGCAAGTGGGCCTTTTGCTAAGAACTGGCACTCGTATCACTTTCAGTGTAGTTTCAGGTTTAAGTCCATAACATCTTCATGAAGCCCAGGAGCATGAGAAGAGCTCAGCTCTAAGCTTGTCCTGTTTAGGAGATGCGCTGCTCTCCGGACCTGCCTTTAAGTAGTATTTGGGCTCATTTTGCAGTCATCAGAGTTGATTGAGTGAAATATTGTTTACAATGATGGGATCAGTTATTTTGAGCCATTTTTCTAAACTTAATCTCACCGGTTATGACCCATTTTGTCATCAAATGTCTTTTTAAATTTGAAACGTTCCTTGGCATATCTGCTCATGTTAATACATTCTGGGCTTAGATCGTTACAGCCATCTGGAAGACATAGAGGCACAGTTTTAAGAAGCCTGTTATGACAAACTGTCACTGACACATCCAAGACTTTGAAAACTGGCTGCTTACTCTCTCTGGGTTTGTCTCTGATCTTCTCTTTATTGTGGGTCTTGTTCTTCATGTATTCAGGACACATACTCTGGATCTTTGTACTTATAAACGCGTTCACACAGGATTTGTGCACGTTAACACAAACCCTTTGAAATATTTCCTGCTGAATATTTCATGTCTCCTGTAATTGGCTCATTTCACCTGTCTGTATCTTGACCCACTAGATGAGAGCAGAGTTTTGGTCTGGCTGGTTTATCTCTTTCTGGGAAAAGTTTAGCCAATTCCTTTTCACTCTGCCTTTGCTCATATTTTTTTACTCTCTGAGTCAATCTGTCACTGCAAGTTGAGCTATTTTTTTTTTTT